AGAAATAGTTGGTCAGTGCACTTTCAGTATGCAGAAGCATCTGCCTTGATTACGCTTGGTATTATGGACATCTAATGACAAGCTGGGCAGATACTTTAATAGGATTGGATTTTGATTAGATGTTGTCTCTTGTTTGCAGGGGGAGGATTGTTTGGCCTTGTATTGAAGAATAACCGTTTCAGGCGCACTTCAGTTGTCTTTTTAGGGATGGTTGTGCACTTTGTGGCCTTCTACTTGATATTCCTCAACATACCAGATGATGCACCTGTGGTTTTCCAAACAAGCTCACAGCATAAGCCATATCTGCTACCAAGGTAATAGATCATTTAAAACAAAACACAAAAACTGGCAGGGAATGCATTACCTGATAAAAGTGGATACACTGACTGAATCCAGTATAAGCTGTTTTGGATAATCTGGTGTGCTAAATTTTGTTTCCTAAAGAGTGCAGTGTTGCATTGTTGATCTTGCTGTGTTCATTTATTCACTCTTGTAGCGTGTCCATCGCCCTGCTGTGCAGCTTCCTGCTGGGTCTTGGGGACAGCTGTTTCAACACTCAACTCTACAGCATTCTGGGCCGGGCGTTTGCTGAGCAGAGCACACCAGCCTTTGCCATCTTCAAATTCATACAGGTAACCATAAGGTCTGCATTTATTTAAATTGTATTTTACTTGAGATCAACAAGCCTGCTGTTATTGAATCAAACATTGTTAATAATGAGAAATTGAGCAGCAAATTATATTAGAATGATATCTGGAGGATCATGTGACACTGAAGACTGGAGTAATGATGCTAAAAACTCATTACATTTTAAAATCTATTGCAATAGAAACCAGTTATTTTCACAATGTTATTGTTTTTAATGTGTTTTTGATCAAACCAATGCTGCCTTGGTGAGCATAAGAAGCTTCTTGTAAGAAAAGTGCGTGTTTGAGTGTTATATAATAAATAAATGAAATATATAAATTAGAAATCATTAAAAAACAACACGTGTGTGCATCTGTGTGGATCTAATCAGTAGTCTAATGCATAGCCGACATTCTTACATCATAGGCTACTTGCATGGATGATGGTATTTAGAGAATTTGATAACTGCTGGTTTACGTCAGTAGAATATCTGATTAGATTCTGAAAGTTTGAAAAAAATAATTCTGTGCTTCATTAAAAGCTTTTTATTTTCCCCTTGAGTTTAGCAGATAAAGTATATCCATGACCTTCTTAATGAATAAAATGCATTTAAAGTTTCATTGGCCAATAAATAAGGTGAAGTGTATTCAGTGTGTCAATAAAACGCTCCCTCTCTCTCAGTCTATTTTCGCAGCTGTGGCGTTCTTCTACAGTGGTTATATTCTGCTGACCTGGCAGCTCCTCGTGATGGTCGTCATGGGATTCACGGGAACGCTGTGTTTTTTCATGGTGGAGAGGATGCAGAATATGTCAGCTGACACACAGGAGTATTAGGTTGGAGTCTTTCTCAGGACACATTTCAGTAAGTGTACTACTTGCACTATTTGATGTAAGATAAAGTTGTTCGTATAAAACACTACACGTGACTTGTGCGAAAGTGCCTTTGTTTTTGTTGGACTTTGGGACCTTAATATACAGATGGGATTACAATTATTATTTTTGTATTTACGTTCTATGATAGAAAATTGTTAGTTGGCGCTGCATTACAATTTTCCATCTTTAATGGAATTGTATTACGTTAAATTTGATATATCAAATGATATTACATATATTAAAGGTGCACTTGGTTTGGTTATGCTTATGTTGTGTTGACTGAAGTGGCAGTCATCTTATACTGACACCTAATGGCATAGTTACAGCATGCAAAAGCGAATGTGGAATTTCCCTTGACTTGTTTATTCCATGAGCGAAAGTGTCAGATAACAGCTGGGTTAGCAAGATAAAACTAGTATTTAGCTGGTCACGTGATTTCATGTCTGCCCCCATGATTGGACCTGCTCCATGTAAAATATAGCAGCTTTTATTATGCTACTGATATGACTGGAGCCTTATTCTCATGTGAGATTTTATGAAGTATCTTTATGTGTATTATGTGCTAAACAAATACACAATGAGGAAAAAATACTGAGTGCACCTTGTGTAAAATGATGTTGGTGACAATCAGATGATGGCTCAGTAATTAACCTCTAAACTGAAATACATGTACACCACTATACACCATACAACTTATACTCAAAAGTTTGGAATCATTAAGATGTTTTATATTTTTGAAAGAAGTCCCATACATATACAGTATATAGAAAAAAAAATGGAATTGTCTACACACAGTGGAGCTGTATCATTTCAGTTAAGAAAGCATTTCTCTCAGGGTGCTGCTGGATAATTGTATGATTTTTATAGAATCTTTAACTCTCAAAGGCTAATGGCATGCCAATTCACTTTCAGATTTCTTTTCTCAAAGGATACTTTATATACACTCTGTGTTCTTTATTGTGAACCATTTTAAAGTTGTTAAAATCATACCAGTTAAGCTGGTTCAGATACTGAAAGTATTAGATAGCCAGACAGGGATGTCATGAGGACTCTGTCACAAGACCGGTTTAAATAATGTTTACACAAAGGTCGTCTTCATGACAAAGTCTTCTAGGCTATATAACGTGTTCATATATCACAAAAGTGCTGTTTGTTGTAAACCAGTTTGTTTCTGAAACAACAGCTCTCTAGGCATGAAGTTACATGAGATTATTCTTTGTAACTTGTAAATAATTTTATTCAATTCAGAACTGGCTGTTCTGGAACCAGTTTAGTAAATCTGACTTTTTTAAGATTCAATTGCCTATAATAAGGAAGCAAAATAATAATTGAAGCAAGTTTTACATTACATTTTACATTGCATAAGATGTGCTGAACATTACACAAATATCTTGTTATGCATAATACATGATGTAGTTCAGTCTGCATTTTGTATGTTTTAATGTGTAATTTTGATTTGAACTACACCCCTGCTACACACTAGCTACAATTCATTAGATTGCAGCTATGCAATAATTTGTGTCATATTGTAAATATTTGTGTTTAGATTTAATCCTCTTTGTGACACAATTTGATTTTTGCATTTGTAATTGACAATCAATATGAAATGTTCTAACCTTCTGGGTTTGATTTGATGTTTTAATGCATTTCAATAAAGAATTATTATTATTATAATGTGTACATGTCTATGTATAAATTAAATGTGTTCATGTCTATGTATTTTCATTTACATGGACCTTTTCACTGATCATCAAGATGTAGTATATTACTTTTACTAAGTCTTTTGATTATTATTTGTCCACATTCTAGTTTTAGTGCTTGGCTTAGTGTGAAAAGGAAGCCCTTCGTGAGGAAGGAAAATCATCAAAATATCAATAAAATCATGGGATTTCCAGCACTTTTTTTCTTTCATCGACTTGCATTTTGATGCCTTTGAATTTAAACATCTATTGTTTTTCAGGGCCACTGCAGCTATCATACAAATTTCAGTCATAGCTACCGCTGCGCTGGTAATGTACCAAGTACTTATGAGTAGTGATATTGAATATTTGATCGCCAACAGATTTATCAAGCTGTCATTCAAACAGTATATTTACAAATTAAAAATAAAGGGAGAACACGCCTAAACTGGAGGCTAAGGGGTGCATAAAGAAGATCTGTAAAGTTGCAAAGACTAAAGTCTCAAATCCAGTGGCGGGCCGTGCATTTTACACCTAGGCCTTCATTGGCGTCCTACATGAATTAATCCATCTCTTCATACCATCATAATGGTACCACGGCTATAGCAACCATAAATATTACACAGTAATGCAGTATAACAGGGCACTACATAACAGACAGGTATCTTATGTAGCGAGAATGAATGCCAAAGAAAGAACCCCAATTAACAATTGCGTGAAACCTCATCTGTAGCTGAAGCATTAACCTAACAAAATGACACAAATACAGTCCATCCGATGTTCTTACAGACATTTATTCACCCAAACGCATTTATACCTTACAGATAGCATTGGTATAAAACAAATAAGGTGATTACATGTGTTTTAAAGTTGACCTAACAATTTAAGGTAGTTTTTTTAACCTTAAACCGCATAAACATTTAATTACACCAAATACACAAAATAATGTTATTTTTAGGAACATCATATGACCCCTTTAAGCAAATAATAATAATAATAGTCAGGGATCCCCAGACCAATAAAATTAGTGTGCCTCCTTTATTTTAAAACCCACGAGCCGCCACTGTATATATATATATATATATATATATATACACACACAGGTGCATCTCAATAAATTAGAATGTCATGGAAAAGTTCATTTCAGTAATTCAACTCAAATTGTGAAAC